CCTGAAACTGACAGCCAAATCGAGAGGCTCAATCAGTGCTTGGAACAATATCTTCATGGCTTATGTTTTTCTGGACCTCATACTTGGGTTAAATGGTTATCCCAAGCTGAATGGTAGTATAACACCAGTTTTCACACAACATTGGGCACCACACCCTTCACAACTCTATATGGCTACACACCACCCATAATGACTTGGACAATAGAATCACGAGTGGTCAATGTGTAGCAGTTTATGCAAGAACGTGATCAGTTAAATAACGTATTGCAAGAACAACTAAAAAAATCACAACAAAGAATGAAACACTATGTAGATAAAAGACGAAGTGACAGAGAGCTGCAAATAGGAAATGAAGTTTACCTTAAATTTTATCCTTATCTGTCAGGTATTATGGATCCTATAGAGTAATTCAACGAATCGATTCATTTGTTTATAAACTGGAACTCCCAGCACACTCAAAGATACATCCAGTTTTTCATATTAGTTTATCGAAGAAGAAGATTGGTAACTTCGAGTTTATCCTTCCATAGTGTTGGACAAATGCATCGTGAAGATAATAAATCTGTCACGCAACTCTTGATACAGTGGACGAACTTGGGCACAACGAACGTTACCTGAAAGGATTACACCGTGCTGAAGTTTCAATTTTCTGACTTCGATCCTTGGGGATAAGTATTGACTGCTGGATAGGGTATTGTCATGGCCCTAAAAGAGGAATTAGGGATTTAGGGAATTGAAATTGGGGGATTAGAGATTTCGATGGATAAAAAAGGGAAAAAAGAGGAAAGTTAAAAGTTATGGAAGTTAAACAATAACAAAGCCGATAAAAAATGATGGAAAATATTATTATTTTTATCTAAAACATCATTTTTTAACATTTTCGGTAAAAGTGTCCAACAATAATAAAACTGGTAGCACCTAATAATGTTTCCGATCATTTTTTGAAATCCGGTTAAAACATCCAATAATAACAAAATCAGTAGCACCTAATAATGTTCCCGGTTATTTTTTACCGATTTTATTATTTAAATAATAAAAAAACACCTTTTTAGCCGTATATTAAGACTACCGCACGTGATCATTTACACAAAAGTTATAACCCAATGAATTTGTAGTAACATAAGAGGAGCACGTGACTGAAAAAACGGGCCAGGGATGGGGGGCTACAGCCCAGCCTGTTAATCTCACCAAATGAGGAAATAACAGTCTAGAGGAGAATCAAGTTGTTATGGAGGATGACAGCTGTCAATAAATAATCTGTACAAATTAGAATGAGTTATATAACATGTAAAAACGGTCACAAGATTATTATGAATGAATTTACTTCTTCTAAAATTTCCCCTTTCTTTCTTCTTCTTAAATCCTTTCTTCTAAATTCTCAGGGTAACACCTGATATATATTTTCATAAAATAAATATAATTAATATATTTTGTCGTTGTTATCTACTTTTTGTATTATTTTTTTAATTTATAATATAAATTATAAGTGTTTTTATAAAATTAATATATTTTAATTGATGTTATAATTGGATTTATAAATATATCCTCATGATATTTTATAATTTATGTTTATTTTATAAAACAAATTAATTAATTCTAATTTAATTTAAGTATTTTTAATTAATTATATAATAATTTATGTTTTATATGTATTTGACTCCTAGCAGGGACAGATGCACTACGTCTCGGTAAGGGTAAAGTGCATCACCATTATTTTAAGAAAATGATTAAATTTAAATTAATGTGTTAAATAAAAAATAAAAAATTTGCATATCCATTATTTAAAAAAAATAAAATTAGAATTTTGAACTCACATTTTTAAATTTATGGATCCACCACTTAATCCTAAGGTGGCGTTTGGTTGGCATGAATCCCTTGGAATTGGTTGGTGGGAATTGGAATCCAATTCCACCACTTTCTCATGTTTGGTTCAAGTTTTCCAAGGGAGTTGGAATCCATCATGGCTTCAATTTTCCATTAAATGAGGGAAAGTGAATTACATCCAAGAATGGATGGAATTTAATTTCCTTGTTGGAGGGAATTGAAATTTGACCATACTACCCTCATCAATCTTTTGATAACTTATTCATATATTGAATAAAAATATTTTTTTATTATTTCGGGTCGGGTTTTTAATTCATATATTCGGGTCGGGTCGGGTCGGGTCGGGTGAAATTTTATTTTGGTCGGGTCGGGTCATTTTTTTAAGTGTGATATTCGGGTCGGGTCGAGTTCGGGTTTAGGGTAAAAAATACCCGACCCGAAAATATATATAATTTTACCTTATATATTTAGGAATAATTATAATAATACCCCTTTATATATATATATATATATATATATATATTTCAATTAAATCACTGTTTTTATTGAATAAAAATATTTTTTATTATTTCGGGTTGGGTCGGGTTAGATTTCTAATTCATATATTCGGGTCGGGTGAAACTTTATTTTGTTCGGGTCGGGTTTTTTAAGTGTGATATTCGGGTCGATTCGGGTCGGTTTTTTTAGTGTGATATTTAGATCGGGTCGGGTTTAGGGTGAAAAAACCGGACCCGACACGAAAAATATATATAATTTTACCTTATATATTTATGAATAATTACAATAATACCCCTCTATATATAATTTTTTCCAATTAAGTCAATGTTTTTATTGAATAAAAATAATTTTTTTATTATTTCGTGTCGTGTCAGATTTCTAATTTATATATTGAATAAAAATAGTTTTTGGTATATTTTTTGGTAACTAATTAACATGCTCCGATTGGAATGTATCGAAATATTGCTTTATCTTTTGGTAACTTATTAACATATTTTGATTGCAATGATTTTAACTTATGATGTTTATTAGCATGATTTTTATAATTTATTGAAATGAATAATCAATCAATAAAATGAAATTTTAATATATATTTTTTAATTTTTTTATAATATATTACTACATGTAAGTTGTAAAATAAACTAAAATAAAACAAAAAAATAAGAAGGGCAATTCTGTCATTTTACATTATTGAAATCAAATTCATCTGACATGTCTGCGAACCAAACATAATATGGAATTGGAATTCTTGACAGATTCCAATTCCTTCACAGATTCCAATTTCCTCAGAAACATTCTAGTGAATCAAACGCCACCTAAGTCTTAGGTTGAAATTCATTTTTAGTAAAATATTTTTTTGTATTTGATTGACTAGTTAGATAGTAACATATATATTATTTATTTTTAACAATAAAATAATATATTTATAAGAAAGTAAAAAACATATTATTATTTAGTAATATAAATGAAGACAGCCACTCCTAATCTCCAATCATATTAAATAATAATTGAATATTTTAAAAGTATAATATATTTTATTTTATTATAGTTGGAGAAAAGCTAACGCAAGGGCGTCACGTTATTCATGATTCATCAATTAAGCATTATCCCTTGCGTAAGTGAAACACCTAAAAGCAAGCAGGCAGGCGTATCGATTTTTGTATGTCTCCACTCTTTTTTTTTTACTAATTAAATTTCGATATTACGTATCATGGCTAGGGTCGGGATGAGCATGGGTGAGTGGCGGATGTGTGTTAGGGATATTTATTATTTAAAAAAAGTGTTAAATTCAGTTTATTTTGTTCATGAGAATAGAAAAAAAATAAGAAAATTTATATACTTAATTTTTTAATATAAAGTATAAAAGATTTTGGACCTCTATTTTTTAATTTCTAGATCCGCCACTGACATGGGTTAGGTCGAGTCGGGTCGAATCAAATTTTCAATCCACCCGCTCCAACTTGAAAATTATAAATTCTCCACCCAATCTAAACTCGACCTGAAAAATATACACATTCCACTCAATCCGAAACCAAACTGATTTTTGAGTTAAAATCCGAACCGGACCTTACCCAATCCGAAATAATATATTTATTAAAAACATTATATTTATTCAATAAAAATAAAGATTTAATTAAAATAAAATAAAATATAGAAGATATTATTACAATTATCCCTAAAAATATAAGGTAAAATTACAAATTTTCAAAATCGAACGATTATTTTTATCCTAAATTTAGATTCGATCTGAACATAATCTTAAAAAAAAGCCAATCCTAACCCATCGAGTTCGAATCTCATATTGATCCCTAGCTAGGATCGTATTTGAATAGATTGAAAAGCTTATATTTTTTTATTCAAAAAATAATAGAAATATGGAACTTTATGCACGCCAATAATAGAGGTGTAATTCTTGTACCAATCATGATGCATTAAAGTACACATCCTGCTTCCCCACTTCCCACCTTCACCAATCTTAACCTCAATAAAAAAATATTTGATTTTTTAATAATTTAATGTGATTATAAGGTAATATTTATTTTAAATATTTTTAATTATTTGATAATAACCACTCAAATCAATCTGTTGCAGTTACTGATGCTCAAATTTATAACCTCTAAGAATAATAACTTAAATAAATTTTTTTTTCGAAATTAAGATTTATTAATAATTAAAGTATTATTTTTCTTATAAATTTTGAATTTAAATAATTATATGTAAAATATATATTATTAATGATTAAAATTTTTATACAAATAATTAAATAATATTTTAAACATATACCATCTTACAATTATCTTATTATTTTATATAATATAAAATTCATTCATTTAACTTTTTCAATTTATATCGTGAATGTGTCAACCTATATTATTTTTAATTATTTTATTTATAAAGTAAATATAATATTTATATAATTCATTATAAATTCATGTAATTTTTTGATAGATAAATTTATGTAATTAAATGAACACAATTCATAAAATTAAAATTTATTAAACAAATAATTATAATAAAAATAACTCTCACTCTCTTCTTTCTTTCCATGTTTTGCTCCTCTATTTCCTCTCTCTCTCTTTTTTTTTTTTTTTACATTTCGTTCTTTCTCTCTATCCTTTTTTTTTCTTTCTCTTTTTCATTTCTATTTTCTCTCTCACCAAACACAGAGCCTGAAAATAAATAATAATAATAATAATAATAAAAAGAAGATATCTCTTTGTAATCGCTCCTTTGTCAGACCTCGATATTTTGCTCTTTCTATTATCGGTCCTTTTCCTTATAGCTCAAAAACTGCGGTTAGAAAAGAAATGGTTTTTTTGATCTAGGATTTGCTCGTTTATAATTAATGGTTGTAGATCTAGGAATTTATATTTATAATTGTTCTTTGTGTTGAATTTCAGGTTTTCCCTTTTCGCCTTTGTCTCAGCTCTCACTTCAATCAGGAATCATTATTGAGCTCAAAATTTTATTTTTTTGGCAGTTTTCACCCAAAATTTGCATATTCTTAAGGCAGGTATTTGAGTTATAATTTATACTTAAAATTCTTTCTTTCTTATTTCTTATTTCTTATTGAATTTTGTTTTGTTTATTTAACGAATGGGCAACTTTGGCTTTATTTAATTTAAAATTATTATTTTTTAATATTGTAGTTGGTAGTGCAATTACGGCAGTTTATAATATATTAATGATAGATTTTGGGAGTAATTTATGAGAGAATCGTAGTGCAATAAATGAAATTTGAATTTTACTTTTTACCTGAGTTTATTATTTATGTCATCATTTCTGGAAATGTGTTCATTTTAATATTTGAATCTGATATGTTATCTGCCTTCCAGTTTAGGTAAAAGGGTTTAATTAAACCTTCAAAGATTGAAATGATTTTTCCATTTTTCCTGAATATTATCGGAATTTGATGCTGGCTTTGGTTTGCATATATGTTTGCTGAAATTTGTATTCTGTGGATAGTTTTGTTTTCTATCAACTGTTTTTAGCTTTCTGCATGCGATGAAAGTTTATATTGTTTCCGAGTCCCCCTATCTCTAGAGTTGCGCTTATATTTTCCCAATGATTCCTTTTACGGATTAAATTTGTTTTTGTATGCCTTCACGATTCTTTTGTAAGATTTGAATAAAGGATTGTCATGGTTGATGCACTTATAGCTTGTCACACACAATGTATTAAGATCGTGTATAATAAAATAAAAATAACACACCAGTTGGAGTTGGAGTGCAAGTATGAAAAAGTGAGTGGACAAAGGCATTGCCTGTATTTATTCTCGTCTTTATACATATTTTTATCTCGTGCATCTGTATTTTCTCAGGTTTCAGGTTCTGGATGGTTAATCCCTGTTTGTAAGGATTTTGCATGTGATTACAAAGAGATGAGTCACACAAAACATGAGAGGGGAGATGGAATGCTCTATAAGGATCAGACAGAATCGCCATTGATCGATGATGATAACTGTGAAGGAGGTGGAGCTGGAGCTGGGGGGATTGTTCTGAAGAAAGGACCATGGACTTCAGATGAAGATGCAATTTTGATCGACTATGTGAAGAAGCATGGGGAAGGAAACTGGAATGCTGTTCAGAAGCACTCTGGACTATTTCGTTGTGGGAAAAGTTGCCGCTTACGATGGGCAAATCACCTCAGGCCGAACTTGAAGAAAGGGGCTTTTACTCAAGAAGAAGAACAACTGATAATCGAACTCCATGCAAAGATGGGAAATAAATGGGCTCGAATGGCAGCACATGTAAGTTTTCAGTTCATTTACTGTGAATCTAGTTATTCTTATGATTTGTTGAATAAGAGAATTTATTGAACCTAAAAGAAATTTGAGAATTACATGAAAAAAGGATTCTTAATATTTGAGTTAAAGAAAAAAAACCCTGTAGAATTGCACCCTCTGCCCCAGCTATTTACTGAATTTTTTTTTACTATCTTTGAATAATTTCATTCTATAGTAAATCTATAGCAAGTTGCAGGAATATTATGAAGAATACTGATAGTTATATTTGACTGTTTTTCATTCTGTGACTATTCTTGCTGCATGTCTCAATCATTATTCATTATCAATTACATAGCCGAGATTCTAAGATCCACTTATGTTTTCAGTGTGGATGGTTTAAATCCTCCGATTTTGTTATCCTTAGCCTCAGGAAGATCAAAATTGGAACAGTCATTTTCAGTGTTCATTTTTTTGCCCAAAAGTAGCTTTTATTGTTCAAGGAGTAATGTTTGTTAAGAGCCTTTAGGTGTCTGTCATTCTTGGCCCGGTTGAGGTGGTCGTCTCCGAGGGTTTTAAAAATTCAGCTCCGCATGTGGAGTCTTCTAGCTCATCCCCTTTTCTTATCCCAGCCTGAACTAGAATGCAAAATTTAGTCCATGCCTTAGAACAAGATAATGAACCATATTAGTAGCATATTTTTCTCGATGTTGTAAATTTTGGGCTAGATGCAAAAGAATAACAGCTTGTGTCTTCCAGAATCCTATGATAGCTATTCTGACCTTGGAGATGCTAAACACATGTGAAGCATGATAAAATCTTCGGTTATAAGTTTCTATGCATCTGTCAGTTAGGTGTCTGAAATTAGTTTCTCTATTTTATTTTATTCTCTGCAGTTGCCTGGTCGCACGGATAATGAGATAAAAAATTACTGGAATACCCGGATTAAGAGGCGCCAACGTGCTGGGTTACCTCTGTATCCTCCTGAAGTGTGCTTGCAAGCACTGCATGAGAGCGATAGTGTCAGTGCAGCAAATGGATTGGATAAAGAACCTCATGATATCTTGCAGAATAATAGCTATGAGATACCTGATGTTGTATTCGACAGTTTAAAGGCCAATCAAAGTGTGCTTCCTTATGTTCCTGAGCTTCCTGTTATATCTTCTGGCAGCATGCTGATGAAAGGTCTAGGTTCTTCTCAATATTGTGGTTTCATGCCATCAACAATCCATCGCCAGAAGCGTCTTAGAGAATCGCCAGCCTTTCTCCCCAGTTATACTGGTGCTGTTAAAAGTGAATGCCCATTGTTTATGCAGTTTGAAGATGATATATCAGACAAGGCTGCTGGATCCTTTGGGCTGTCTTTTCCAATTGAACCGGATCCCGCAACAAAGTACTCCCATTCATTTGGTGTATTCTCAGGCAGCCATGCCCTTTCAAATGGCAATTTCTCTGCTTCAGAGCCCACTTTAGAGGCTGTGAAGTTGGAGCTCCCTTCACTCCAATATCCAGAAACTGATTTAGGTAACTGGGACACGTTGTCTTGCCCTCCACCTTTACTTGAGTCTGTAGATGCTTTTATCCAGTCACCACCACCAACCAGTGGACTGGAGTCTGATAGTCTTTCGCCCCGTAATAGTGGCCTGCTGGATGCTTTACTTCATGAGGTGAAAACTCTAAGCAGCGCAAAGAATCACGCATCTGAAAAAAGTTCAAATTCATCCACCCCCTGTGATATAGCTGAAGGTTCCACTTTCAACATTTGTGAGACGGAATGGGAAAAGTGTGGTGAACCTCTTTCTTCAATGGGTTATTCAGCAACTTCTCTTTTCAGTGAGTGTATCAGTGCAAGTGGCAGTTCTTTGGATGAGCAGCCGCCTGCTGAAACCGTTACTGGTGAGCACTCCCTGATCTTAACTTATTTAAGGTTGGGACATGATTTATACTTTTCATCAATAATCCTAAAGTTCTTCCTATCTTATTAGAAGTTGATCTTTGTCATCAAGCATCAATTTTGACATATATCCTGTAGATTTCTGTGATGCATAAACTATTTAAGATTGAGATAGAATTTCAAAAGCCTGCCAATTTCTTAACCGCAAACCCAAGTATAATAACATTATAAACTTGTTTTTTCTTTTCTGACATTTTTTTATCATCATATTCATTTTATTTTCTCCAGATGTTTTATGATAAGAATCCTTGAATTTGGGTTGTTTTTCAGAGTCTCATGTGAAATCAGAGCCAGCTGACCATGTTTTTACCCCAGAGATGGAAAAAGAGACTCCTATTCGGTTGGAAGGTAGTCGACCCGATACTTTACTTTCTTCAACTTGGCTGGAGCAAGGTTCTGTTTATGATGAGGGTCAAGCAATCTTGACTGATGCCATATCAACCCTTCTTGGCGGTGATTTGAGTATTGACTACAAGAATATGGCATCCGGAACATCTACTTCAGGTCAAGCATGGGGTCTCGATTCTTGTGCATGGAATAACATGCCCGCTGTCTGTCAAATGTCTGAACTCCCTTGAGATCGGCTGTCGCGACTGTATGAACTTCTCTGAAGCTCTTTTTGTTTGTTTCATTCATTCCATGATTTGATTGATGTGGGTAGTCAATCGAACATGATGTGCCGATAGTTCATTCGGGGTTGAGATCATCATGATATGGTAGGAGTCATGGATGTTTTTGCTCTGTTGTCTATGATGTTTTTTTTTTCCTGTGGAACAGTTGAATGCATGTATGCCAACATGAACTCCGAGGTATACAAAATACATTCAAGGTGGTGTTATAACTTTTAGAATAACTATGCACTTTCAGCATGAACAATGGTTTGCTCTTTGATGCATTATGTCTTAAACTGAAATGCTTATTTGTACCTTTGGAAGGGAAACAGTTTTAGGTTTCAAAATCTTTGTTTCTATTCATATGAAACCATCTTAGTTAGTAACCGAGTCGAGATTCAATGTAGGGCTTGAAGTTTGGTTTGGTCATTCTTGTTCGAACTCGAGTTTTTGTTCAAATTGAGAGTTCTGAATCGTGACTTATAAAATGCTTGAATTTATTTTATAGCTAGATCTCAAAAACTCTGTTTCCAGTATACAAGCCTATTTAGTAACCTTGCAATCGGCAAGAAGTTCGAGCCTGAGAATAAGCTCGAACTTAACTTGATTTTGAGTCCGAATTGTGTTATGGTTATTTAAGTGGAGTATTAGAATCCTCCAGAGGCAAAATATTCGGTATTGAAAAATACTTTTGCGTGTAAACCAGAGGAAGACCCCGGGTTTATATATACTAATTTACATATACTAATAGGTGCTAGATCAATTCAAGTTGAGTAAGAAAATTTCAAGTTATTCGAGTTGTTGACATGGTACCTCCGCACCGTGACGTTGTTGACATGACTCCCTCACCAAAACGACGTCGTTTTGACATGACTGTGTAGGTGCTAAAAAACCTAAAAAAGGAATAGTTTTGTTTGAGGAAATTTAATAAATAATGCATTTGAACCCATAGCCTTTTGAAATAAAAGGTAATACTTAACCACTATGCCAACTTAAATTTTTTTATATAATTCTATAAACATAATATACATAACATGAGTCACCATTCCAAAAGTTACTTTCTAAAAAACCTATGAAATTATTAAAATTTTCAAAAAAACATCTTAAATTCCAGAAAATCTAAAAAAACTCCTAAATTCCTAAAATTCCCAAAAATCATAAACAAGCCCGAGCCTAAAGGTGAGTGGTATTTGAAGTAGTTTACCCTAATTTTTAAGTATACTCATTATAGTTTATTTTATTATAATATATATTATATATTCGAAATATGATAAAAACTATTAATATCAAATTGTCTACTTTTGAATGCACATAATAAATTTTATTTGACTTATTTCAAATATTTTTAACCACTTAAATATATATAATTTGATTATCAACCCAAAAAATAAACTTTTAAGATATTGATCTTAATTGCACTAATTAGAAAAATGTTCTTAACCACTTAATTATAAAATTTACATAATAATATGGAACTTTCAGTAAAATAATATAATTAAACTTAAAAATCATTCTGCAAATTTCCAAAATAAAAGAACAAAAATTAGACCTCATTTTAAATAAGTTCGGTTCATAGACTAAATTGCACATTTCTGGGCTGAAAACAGATTCCAAACAACACACCGTTTTCGACTTAAAATACGAGATTAACCCTCCTAATGACTGAAAAATTAAACCTAATCACTTATAATATTTTACCAATAATTTTAACACATTAAAATTAAATTAGAATCATTAAAACAACATAAAAATTCAAGTTTTTCATGTTATTTAATATACCTTAAACACAAACACTATTGATATCACTTCTGTTATTGACTCCAAATGAGCATTTAGAACATGCTTCGTAGGGAATTAAGTCAATAACACAAGTTCAATGTATCAAACTGTTCAAATATATTTCGTTATTGACTCCCTAATTTTTTTGTGAATTTTAGGAATTTAGGAGTCTTTTGAGATTTTCTGGAATTTAAGGTGTTTTTTGAAAATTTTAATAATTTTATGAAATTTTTAGAAAGTAACTTTTGGAATGCTGACTCATATTATGTATATTATGTTTATAGAATTATATTAAAAAATTTAAGTTGGCATGGTGATTAGTATTAACCTTTATTTCAAAAAGTTATAGGTTCAATTCCCTTTAAATGCATTATTTACTAATTTTTCTCAAACAAAACTATATCGTTTTGAGGTTTTTTAGTACCAACATAGTCATGTCAAAATAACATCATTTTGGTGAGTGACCCACGTCAGCAACGTCACGGTTTGGAGGTGTCATGTCATCGTGCCGTTAATAAGCCATTAACGGCGAAGTGACATAATTACAGTTAAACTTGAACGTTAGTATTAAAATTGACAAAATTAAAACGTTGGTGACATAAACGAATTCAAACATAAAGATGAGTGGTATTTGAAGTAGTTTACCCTAAATCAATCTATGAGTGAACACGTAGACTAACTATTCACCTTTAATACCTAAATTATTACTTTTATCTCGTTTTGATACTTAAACTTTCATTTTTTTAAAAACATACTAATATATACTTTTTGTTTCGTTTTGGCCCCTCACCGTTAAAAATTTATTGATGTTTTTGTAAGTGATATTTTTTAATGAATAAATTACATCATTAATTATTTAATTATCGAGGTCGAGGAGCACAAATATAATTGAGAAGAATGCAAAAACCATTAGTGAGACACCACTAAGTGAGAAACACTAATTTTGGGAGTTTCCAATGATTCCTGAATAGGATCATATTATATAGAAATTATCAATTAAATATGGCTCTGATTTGTTTGTGGCTTATGTTATAAGTTGAAAGGGAAACATAAGAAAATGAAAATAATGTGGTAGCTACGTCAGATCCATTATCTTCTTTTAATCGACCGTTCTCCACTTCTCTAATTTCTAATCATTATTTATTAAAGTTCAATCAATGGAGAAAAGAAAAGTTATTCTTAAATAGAATTAGATCCATAATATATATATATATATATATATATATATATATATCGAGTTAGTTTTACACATTTTTAAGATCATTAGATTGAAGGAAATCAAAAGTTGAGATTAATTTCTTATTTTTCCAGTGAACATCTTCTTATTTTTTACTATTAATCTCAGTCTTTAATTTATCTCATACAATGATCCTAAAAAATATAAAACTAAGAGAGTTTTACAAATTGTAATTGGACCATGTTTTTATATATATATATATATATATATATATATATATTGATTAATCTAGGGTAAGTACAAGATTGTATCTATTCATAAATAATTATCTACCATTTGACATTGAAAGTTTATATCCCTACATTCATAGTGCTCAAACTTGGGATCTTAATAAATAACAACAGTTTCTTTGTCACTGAAATCGCTTGATTCGTGCTCTATATATATTAGTTAGGATTTATTAGTATAATATGAAATTTTTACGCGTCTCTTTGAATTGTTGGAAACAAAAACAAAAATGAACGATGTTAGAATTTTAAAATTTTTATAAAGATTTTTTTTTAAGTAGTTGTAATCGAACTGTTGATATTAATTCTTTTAAAGGGGGTCAAGTATGTTTAAAGTGACGTTAATATCCTATCAAAATAGTATTACTTTTATTTTAATTATTTTTATATAAATTTATATAAAAATATTTTCCGGAAAATATAGGGTTGTGATCCTATCCATGTATATAGCCTAAGTCATCAATTAAATTTTACTTTTGGAACATAAATTCTGTTACAAGGTTGACATCATGATTCACAAAATCACTTGTTTTGGAGCATTATATTATTTTTAATTTAAAGGATAAATTAGAATTTTCACTATTTAACTCTTTTCTCATTTTTATTCTATTCTAGGTGTTGAAGTTTAAATTTTTTTTAATTAATAACTAAACTTTATACATCGAATGTTAGCATTGGTCGAACACACGAACCATTAAGTTTTCTTCTCTAAAGTCCAATCCCTATATAATGATATTATCATCAACTAAGGTGATCAACTCCGTTAAAAGATTCCAACAATATATAGGCTTCTTTTCGGAAGGAAAGTAACATATCTTCGTTCAAACTCCGTTCAACATCAAACAAAGGATATTAGAGAATAAAAAAAATAAATTATTTAGTGTTAGATTCATAGAATTTGAGACAAGTTTCAACATCAAACAAAGGATATTAGAGAATAAAAAAATAAATTATTTAGTGTTAGATTCATGGAATTTGAGATAAGTTTTATTAAACGAATATTAGATTCATGTTCAAGTTGACAAAACGAGTTTGATGAGAAATTTTGGGACTTCGTCATCGATAACAGTTGATGATGGTCCGTGCAGTGGAAAAAATTCAAATAGACGGAGAGACAATGCGAGAAAAAAAAACTAAAGAGAAGAGAGAAAAATTAAGTTTATATAGATCCAAAACAACGTTTTTTTTACTTTTTAAAGTAACGTTTTTGTAATATCGCATGTCATGTCATAACAACAATAATTATTTAATCTAAAACAACAATTAAAAGTTTTAATATTTTTTTAAAATTTCCATGACAAAAAAATTGAAAATAAAAATATAAATAAATTTATAATTATCAATTGAGTTGGTAGCTAAATTGACTCCTTACACTAAATTTCAATTTTTTTTATAATATGGGGTAAGTACGTAACAATATCTGTTCAAAGATAACTCTGAAATCTTTTGACATTGAGCTCATATCCCTGGCATCAATAGTGATCGAACCATGATCCTCAAGGAAAAACAACAATAATTTACCACGAAGGTTGATATAAACTTCAAAGGAGAACAAAAACTAAAATTTTAAAGACGAAAATAAATTGTCGATATAAAATTAAATAAATTGTCTGGAAAATCATCGTTACTGTTAGATAAGAACTATTCATACTTTGTGATTTCCATGCTATCATTCCAAGTGGATTACATCTCCAAATGAGTTTCTACTTTTACAAATATATTTGATGCGTTTCTCTGTTTCTACTTATTTATATTCAATTTTTGATTTGTTATCAATTGGTGTTGAAAACATTTTTATGTTTCGATATAACAAATTAAGTGTTAATAAAATTTAAGATTTTATATTTTAAATTATATATTCGGTTAAATTATTCGAATATTACTCAAAGTTTTCAAATGTCAAATCCAATCCTTACTTAAGTGAAAAATTGTGTTTTAATCTTAAAATATTTTTTGAAACAAATTTCACAAAGTATTTTGAGCCTTAATTAAGCCAAAAATATTTTCTTTATAAAAGGGCTTCAAGAAAAACTAGATTGCCCAGAGGGTACCGATACCCCTCATAGGGTACCGATACCCCTA